TTGTTGTCCCCCCTTTTGTTCCTTCAGTGAGTAAATCCATCCTGACAGACCCTGCATATCTATCTTTTACCAAAACCACTATTTTCCCCATTTCTCTTGAAATTATCTTTAGCTTATGCTGAGGAATAGAAATACAGGATTCTGGTATTTTCTCTTAATCCACTGACAGATGGAGTCAAAGCCAAAAAAAAAAAAAAAAAAAAAAAAAAAAAAAAACAACAAAAATTCAGCGAGCAGGGACCTCCTGAATTCTTGGGAAGTGAAAACATATACTTACAAAAACATACTCAACCACTTGTCCCTTCAAAGTCCTGCAATTTCCATCTTGCTTCCTCCAAAATCCTCACCTGAGTTTCTGTACATTTTTAACTCGTCTCACCAACTAAAAAGTGAAAATAGCACAATATATTATTTAAAGGCTGGAATTCCCAGCTCTTTTTGTGGAGCATAAAGTTATTAGTCACTGAAACATTCCCAGTTTAGTATTTTTAACCAAGAATTATAAAGAAAAAGCAATTAAAATGGCAAGAACAGAGCTACGTGCCCGTACTGGGAAACCCAGGGCTTCTGTGGATGGAGGGATTTAATTTTTAAAGCTCTTGTTGCCTCCTTGCCCCTCAATCATTTGTGGTGTTTTGTCACTTTATCAAGATTTAACATAACAAGCCCCAAACCCTGGAACAGTTTAATCCTGACAGGGGATGTTGCTTCACTTCCACCTCTTCTTTGGCTCTTCCTTGCCCTTGAGGTGATTTTTGGTGACATTCTCGTGAGATCCACTCCTAACCTTCCTGCCCCTTGCAAACATACAGTGAAATATGAATGGCAGGCAAGCAATCTGTGCAGAGACACAGCCCAGAAACTTGCACCTTGCACTCCTTTTCTATGTAAATAATGCAAGGATCCTGCGGGAACATGCCAGGGATTGGAATTTTTAATTAATGGGTCTCTTTAATGTGCAAATCAGGAGCAGATTGCAAATTCTGACTTGCATTGATTATGAAAAACATTAATTGAACGTGCAAGACCCCAAACAGAGGCAACATCTCAAGCCCTGGACTAGACTGGAAGACACAGTGCAGGAGAATACAAATATATCTTGGAGAAACAGCCCACTCCAGGCAGGAGCACCTTGGAATGCCGAGCTGGGGGAGCTCGTGTGTGCAGGGCAGGAAACCCTGGACATTTGTGCTGCATTCAGAGCTCAGCCACTCTGATTTCAGCACTAAAAACCACCCAGACTTTTTCCAAACAGGAATAAACACGAGCTCCATGATCACAGTTCGGCCTCCAATTTGTATGTAAAAAGGGTGACAGGAAAAAATCTGAAATATAATTAAAGATTAAAAAAAAAAAAAAAAGGGAAATAAAAAGCAAGACGGTGCAAACAAAGCAATGCTGTCTCTTTAAACAGAAATTCATCCTATATAAATTATGGCCATAAACTTTTCCTGCAGTGCAGCCTAATTAATTCTTGTTCTATACACAAAGGGAAATGCTGGGTGACAAATGGGTGTGAAGCCTGAAAGCTGCCAGGTCTGCAAAACATTTTCTACTTCAATTTATAAGCAATTTTGCAGTAAATCATCTACCAGAACCTGAGATCTCAGGAATCTAAGACTGTCCAAAGCACGTTGCAACATTAAAAAAAAAAAAAAATCATAAAAGATTACAAAAATAATAAATTAAACACTTGAGGTTTTGTAACCTCCAATCTCAAAACCTGGAAAATTAGCATGACCTTGCCCTTTTCACTCACCCTTGGCTTTAAACCTGCACATGGAGGGAGCACTGCTGTCTACTCTTTGACACAATTACATTCAAGGCCTTGGGGAATTCCACCACCTCAGCAGGGTTGGCCTAAGTGGGAGATACCAAAGAGGCAAATATAGAAAGGATCATTTTCCAATTCAAAAATATTCATCCTTCCTGTGAGCACAGAGCAGAAACTTCGTGAGAAAAGGAAGGATTTGGGATAAGTTACTGAAAGCATTCTGGGGCAGCTTACAAGGGGATGTGAGGGACCTGTCCAGGAGCTCAGAGAGCGCCGGGAGCCTCCTGCCCTCAGCATCCAACACTGTTCACCCACAGTCTGCAATTCTGGCACCAACTCATTTGTGCAACTCGAACACCACATCATTTCCTCCTGCTCGATGAAGGTGATGAAAGCATGCCAAATTTATTTTGTGGATTTGGAAAGAAGTGCTGGGGCTTCCCTGAAAGGAGAGCATCATCCAGTCCAACGCAGCATCAGTGTCCTGATTATCCCAAATCCTGTCCAAGGCTGAAGCACATCACGTACAATGAACCACCTGAACACTCAGGATTTACAAAGGCCTGCCTTCACCTCATCTTTGAACTTTTTCCATGCACAATTCTTCCATTTTTTCCTGTCTGGGGAATGGGATCCTACCCATAAGCTGGCAACCAACTGGGATGAGAACTCAGGAGTCCAGAAATGTTTACCCAGCCCACAAATCACTGGTCAGAACTGAATAAAAAAAGCTTATTTTTATAGAAGTCACTAAAGCACTTGATCAGCTAAAAATTAAGACTTTTATTGGAAGCTGATTTATAGTGAGATTTTTTTCCCCCCCTCATAAATCAAGGTGCATCAGTTCATGAAAGAACTTTAAATATATTATGATGTGTCTTTTCAGAAAGGACTCAGTTTGACCTCCTGAACTGCCAGGTCACAGCAGCTCTGTGAGTGAAGACGTGACCCAGCTCGGGGGGTAAAGCTGAGTTGTGATCAGACACAAACCCTCTCACAGGGCCCAGCACAGCAAAGTGAGAGAGAAAAGGGTCTGTGCCACAGAACACCAACTACATCCCTACAGTCTTCAGATATATAAATTTACTCCTTATTTCATGCACTTTGTAACTTCTGGAAAAAGCATCTTGGCAGGCAGTGAAAGCTGCACACAATAGTGGAGCTCATCAAAATGACTATTTATTGTAGCCTGCTTTACTGGATAATTACAGATTTCGTTTTAAAAAATAGCACTAAAAACGGAACGTAATTTTGGCCCATTAGGGAAAACACTAAACAAGAGTAGTAGAAGTAGAATGTTCCTAAATTCATTACTTCCTGTCTGTCAGAGCACTTCCTGTGCTAACTTTGCCCAGGTCACTGCGGCTTTATTTTATTACTGTTTTCAAAGATCAAATACAGAACACAAACCTGAGCTTTGAGGAACATCAGAGTGAACTCCTACAACTTTCCTGCCCAGATTACAAGAAGAAGGAATCACTGAGCAGTTACTAACAGTGGATTTTCCCTCAGAGTTCTGGACAACTGAAGGATTAGCCTCTGCTGCACTCTGGACATTATACTCCATGTTCTTGGATGTATTTTGCTTATGGGAAATATCAAAATGTCAACCATTGTTTCTGTTAAAGGTCTTTAATGATATTGCATTTTAGACCTGTAATGAAACATGGAGCTGGTGCAGTTTGTAATGCATCTCATTAAGAGCATTAATAACGTGTGTTTCACTGAAAGGTCAGCACAGCATTGTTGGGAGTTTGCCTTTTTGTCCTTAATCACTTCAGTCAAAGCAGCAGAGCACACTTTAAAATAGAAAGTGCCTCCCCTGCTGTAACTCCAGATAAGCTGATTACCTGCCATGTTCTGATCAGGTGTAAGCCACAAGATCACAGCCAAAACCTGCTGCAGGGGCAACACTCAGGGTCATGGGCAATGATGACCAAAGCTCCTCATCCAGTTTTGAGATGATTTGTGCCAGCTCAGGCCAAAATTTCTTAATCACTACAAGGTGTGGCTGAAGGGGTGGAGAACCAGAGCAAACCTGAGGGTTCAGGTGATGCCTGACACCCCTGATGTGCAGCACGAGAGGCTTTGGACACCACTACACTGTTTCCTACCAAGTGGGTTCACGGAAAGGGCTTCTTGGGATCCTCCACAGGGTGTTCACCTAAGGAGCTGAAACTCCTCAAGATTGGGAAAGCAGAAATAGAAGTGAAAGGGATAACCAAAATGGAAAGCTTTAAAAGGCCACTGAGCTTATCTCTGTTATTCAAAATCACTGAAAGAACATCCTGTGAAGTGCATTAATTTCTGATTAGTGAGATAAGGAAACAGAAGATTCTCTGTATAAACATTGTCATCCCTGTGGTTTTTGCCAGAAAACGACAAACATGTCATGGAGAAATGGACACCAACTGATACCTGCAGAATTTTAATTTATCCCAAAGGATAACATAACTATCTCCCCATGCATTTACTTTAAGGCCAGTAAAAAAAAAAGTGTCCAATTCTAAAACTTACACAGACCCACAACACACTGAAGCAAGTGCTTTGCACTTATCAACTGGAGCCTGTACATTATTATTTCATTATTATTTCATATTTCAGAATCTACTAAAATCTCATCAGATCAATATCATTAACAGTGATCCTCAGATATAAACAGATAAAGAAGCTCCAAGCTGGCAAGACATTTGCTGCTGATTTAACTGCAGAGCCCCTCTCCTTTGGGCTGAAGTACTCCTGATTAGGGTAAATCTTTGCATTCACTGACTCAGCACAAAGTTGGGACAAGGTGTCTCTGGACAAACCATCCCAACTGTGCTCTGAACTGCAGTAGTGAAAGCAATTATTTCTAAGATACGGCATGAAAGTTAAATTTGATAAACAAACTTCAATCCCCACTAGAAACAGAAACAGAAGTAGCAGCAGGACCTGAGCTGAGGTTCACCAACATGGTGTAAGGCAATGACAGGCCACCAGCAGGGACCAACCAGGCACACACAGACACGGGCGATGGGAGACAACTTCTTTGTCTGGGATGGGAAAGAGGTTTGTGGTTTTGTTTGCACAGCACCTCATCAGTGATTAATGCAATGAAAACCAACAGCCACTACTACAGGCGTGTCCAACTCAAAGCCCTCACCTTCCCATTAGTGCTTCCCCACACAGCAAAACACACTGCCTGCAGCAGAGTCTAACCAAAGGAGAAAGGTTTAAGGATTCTTACAGCTCTCCACAGCGTTGTCAAACTGCTGTCCACCCTCCTCTCTGAACCTCGGGTAGGTGTCTGGCTGGGGGAGCCTGTTGGCTGTCACCAGTGCCTTCTGCATCTTGATTCTCCCCTCCATTAGCAGATCCCACAGTGCTTCAGGACAAAGAGGAAATAAAGCAATTATTCAGCAACCCAAAACACTCGTGTCCCATGAAGGACTTCACAGCACAGCCCCTCCCCTTTGGGCTGCATTAGTCCTGGTTAGGGAAAATCTTTGCATGCACTGACCCAGCACAAAACTGGTACCACGAGGTGCCTCTGGGCAAAGCCCGATCCTACGATCCCAACTGCACCTGGGATCCACAAAAACAAATCACCCCTCTGCTTTACTGTTTGAAAGGACAGTTTGCATATGGAGGTTTAACAGGGCAGACAGGAAGAAATTCCATTCAGTGCTGCATTTTGAATAGAAACAAAGTGATAGCAGCAGCACTGCACAGGACGAGCAGTGCAGGAAGTCCCCGTCCCCCACACTGGTACCACGAGTGTATTCAGCACTGGTTCAATTAAGTGAATAAACTGGTGGATAAACACACTTCACAACACGAGCTTTTGCAGCAGCAGTGACACCAGCTTGCACAGCAGCCTTGGCAGAACATTTGCAAGTGTCTGGGGCTGCTGTAGCATGCACGTGCAGCGTGCTAACAGCATGTTAACATGCCGAGGTGGCTCCTAACACAGCTACAGTGTCAGCAAGGTGACAGCCTTGTCAAAACACAGAGCAAACATGCACAAACCTAGCTGGTTCCTCACAGCTTTGCCCTTCTCTACTTCTTCAGACTCTTGGCCTTTGGAGAAGGTCATCACCCCCCCATCATCTTCGCTGTCTTTGGCTTCCTTTGCATCGTCGTGGTTTTCACTCCCATATTCCTCTTCCTCCTCCTCACTTCCTTCTTCCATGTTGGCATCATCATCTTCATTTTCATCTTCATCTTCATTTTCATCTTCATCTTCCCCTTCACTGCTTCCTGCATCATCCATCCCCTCTGCAAATTTCTCGAAGTCTGTGATATTCTGGAAGCTGAACTTTGGTGCCTTGTCCTTGGTAGATGGATCTGTCTCTTCACCATCATCCAAGTCATCCTCCTGGTCACTGCTGGGCTTCTCCTTTGCTTTAGTGCCTGCACTGTCATCCTCTTCTGAACCTTCACTGCCGCTGTACCAGTCATCTAGTGCCTCTTCAACTAATAATTAAAAGAGAGAAAAGTTATTTTCTTGTCAGAAAAACGTGCCACTTTGCAGGGTTCATCAGCAATAGCTCAGGTTTGGGCTGTTTGATGTTACCCTTTGTTTGGGCTAAAAAATGGAAACAGAAGGTCAGAGTGACAGAAAGATCCCTGCCCACATTTTCTGCAGCCAACGATCAGCAGATCCATGGTTGAGCCTTCCCATCACACAAGGCCAACATAAGGAAACAAGGCGGCCAGAATTTTTATGTGCATTTTTAAATACGCCTTTTTAAAATGAGAATCTGTATAAACTTGTATCTATTGGCTTAAAAATGGGAGCTGTTTCTTTTCCCCCACACGCAATGTTCAGTCAGTGCACTGAACCTCACCTTACCTCTGATTCCTCAACCTGTGGAACTGACCTTCTCTTTGGAGTTTTACTTTCCTTCAGGCCAAAAAATACAGCCAGAATTCCAGGAAGGTACTTCAATGTGTCCAGCTTAATTGTACCTGTTTCTTGCCCAGTAACAGGGCCCTAATGTTTGTCATCTCAGTTCAGATGCACTGGCTCAGTTCCATGCCAACATCACATTTGGAGTAGTTTAGTAAAAAGAGTTAAAAAGGGATTTCTTACCAGATCCTTCTTCAGACAGAGCATCTCCCCAGAGCTCTTCTTGCAAAGCTTTGCGAGATGTGGCTTTTCCACTGTACCTTTTATCAGCTTCCAAGAGAGAGGCTGAAACTCTTTTCCTTATGTTACCAACAGGTAAAATGTCATCTGAGGTTTCATCCTCAAATCTGTCAATCACTTTAGCAACAGTAGCTGTGGGGAAAAAAAAAAAAGAGGAAAGGGGTGACTAAACTGAACTGAATTCCAGTCTTCAAGAACCAGCTGCAGGAAGGAGCCACAGGAAACCTCTCAAGCTCTACAAACAACAGTGTACTGGTGAGCTGGATGGGAACACGGCCTCACACAAGAAGCTGGGTTTTAGGCTTTGAGAGGTGCAGGAAAGCCAGCACAGTAATTTCCAGCAAAGGGGGAAAAGGTTCCTGGGGAGTCAAAGGCAGAGACCAAGCCTCACAGCTGGGTTTTGTGAGGATCAGCACCAGTCCTGCCTAGGAAATACTGAGTAAAGTAACACTTCAGATCCAGCAGAGGAGATAAGACAGCTCCAGGGGTATTTTTCAGAAAACATTCTGTGATTCCTCAGTGATAACCTGTGATAACCTGCCAGCTTAACCTTTGCAGGAGGAAGGGAGATGTTACATTATCTGACCAATTTCAACCCTTTTTCAGAACTCTGGACTTCTCCATGCACAGGTCTGGTACCACTGGGCTCCCCTGCAATGCAGAATTGATGTTTATTAACAGACACCAAAATAATCCTGCTGAACTATTTTTTTTTTAATGAACATCACCTACATTCACACCTTTCTGGCTCCTCTTTATTTTAGAGAACAAGCATTAAGCACTGGACAAACCAAGCCTATCCAAGCCCTTCCATGGATCCTGAGAACAGTCCTTCAGGTGGAGGACTCTGCAAAGCTGGAATGCCTTCACTCACTCCAAACTCACAGATTAAAAGAGGAAAACGCCAATTCAGATGCGCTTTGGCCTCTTGCTATACACGAGCCACTAAAAAAAAAAAACGTAAACATTTCAGAAAGGCTCAACAGAGGAAACAATTGTGGTTATTACCCTCCTTCATGCCCATCCTCTCCAGGACACGGAGCAGAGCAGCCCAGCCCGGAGAACACACCACCCCGGCCTCCCTCCCTGTTCTCGCTCATGTGCAAGACGCCCCGTACGCCAAATTACAGGGTTAGCTTTGTTCGAGCAGTCGAGCATCCAAATCGCTGAGTGCTCTTAACGCGTGTTTCGAAACGTTAATGCCTCGCACAGAGGGAGACAAAAAAAAAAATCTCCTGCTCGTAACCAAACCGACCAAACCTCACCTAAATAAGAGTCACCGCAGCTACGAGAGAACGGCAGGATGGAATGGCTGGGCAAGAGGGGCAGAGGCAGAATGCGGGACTCGAGGGATCCCCCGGAATTCTCAGTCTTGGCACCACCGCAGTGGGAAGTTTTGCCCAGAGAAGCTGCGGCTGCCCGAGCCCTGGAATAACCCCGCTGCCGAGGTAACCCCGCCGCGGGGCCGGGGGGCGCAGCTCGGGGTGCCCGGAGGGGCTGAGGGGCCCCGGCCCCGCGCACGGCCCGGGCCCAGCCCCGCACACGCCGCCGCCGCGGCGCCACGTGCGGCCGGTCCGGCAGCGTCCGGACTGCCCCCGCCGGCCACCCCCCGCCCGCCCGGCCCGGATCACGGTGCCCGACCCTCCCCCGGGCCTCCCGCACCTTCCTCCGCGTCGTCCTCGGGGTCGCGCAGGGCGGGCCGGGGATCGAGCAGCTCCCGCAGCTGCTCCGCCAAGGGCGCCGCCATCTTGGGGGGGGCGCGGGGCGGGCAATGGGGCGGGGCCTGAGGGGCGGGGCGGGGCGGGGCCTGCCGGCCGCTGGGTCCTATCGCCCGCCCGCCCGGGACAGCGCGGGGCCGGGGGCGACCAGCCGGGGACATCGGGGGGTCCCGCGGGGTCACAACTGGGGATATCGGGGGGTCCCGCGGGGTCACAACCGGGGACATCGGGGGGTCCCGTGGGGGGGTCACAACTGGGGACATCGGGGGGTCCCGCGGGGTCACAACTGGGGACATCGGGGGGTCCCGCGGGGTCACAACCGGGGACATCGGGGGGTCCTGTGGGGTCACAACTGGGGACATCGGGGGGTCCCGCGGGGTCACAACCGGGAGCCATCGGGGGGTCTCGTCGAGTTCCAGAGGGGAGCGATCGCGGGTCCCGCGGGGTCCCAGCTGGGAGAGATCGGAGGTCCGATCGCCCGCCGGCCGGGAGGGATCGCGGGGTATCCCCGGGTTCCATTCTGGCCCAGCGGGTCCCGGGACCTCGCAAGTGTCCCCTCCGTTGCCCGACGGGGTCCGGGCTGGGGTGCTCGGGGGGCACGGCCAGGGGTAACAGTAATAAATACCCCTCCAGAGCATCCCTGAGCCCCCCTGCCCGCTGCCTCGGTCCCCCCATCATTAAAGGGGGGAACAGTGGTACTTGTGTACATCAAAGGGGGAGAACTGAGGTCTTACAGTACTGGGATAAAGGTGGTATAATAGCAAAATCCTGTTAAATAATACAGAATGTGACTATTATTGCTTTAAGTCAACACTGTGATTTTTTAGCCCCAGTTCAAAGCTGCATTAGTTGTTTTCTTGTCCTGTGTGGTAAATATTTTTTGCCTCTGCTGAAGCCAGGGTCCCTCCTGCAGCAGCCTGAGCCAAAAGTTGGGTTCTCTGGGCAGCCCCAGTCCTTGCACACAGATGGATCCTTACATCAGGTTTACACCAGAGTTACACAAACCACAGCGAATCCAGTAATTTTGGCTCCTGGGGACAAACTCTGGCCTAGGAGCAGCAGCCAAGCAATGCAGAAGTGACCTGTGGGGAGTGTTAACAAGGAAAGGTACTCCTGGAGTTGTCTCTGACAGCCTCTCATGGCCACTTTCTGGACTAAGGTTGCCCCAAAACACAAGGAATTGCCTGAAATTGGGGAATAGCAATAGAGGTCGGCACGTATTTTGTTATAAGGGAGCAGGGACCCAAATCAGCATCTCAAATCTGGGTTGCAGATGTAGATCTGAACTTCAGACCCCACAATGAGCAGCTTCAGGGGGTCAGCCTGAGCTCCAGGATTTGGGCTTCCCACAACCAGTGCTGGGATTTCACCTGCAAAGGAGCAGCAGCCACCTGAGCAGGCTGATGCTCATCCCCTTCTGGTCGACACGAGACTCTTCCCTGCTCCTTATCTGCCTTTAAATGCTCTAAAAATGAGTCCAGAGGTGGTCTGAGCTGAGGAGAGGCGCGGGCAGAGCGGGATGCTGGGATGCAGCTGGATCCCATCCCGCAGCTCGGCTCATGCGGGCGCTTCTCCTACAGAGGGCAGAGGAATATCAGTAATTCCCATCTCCTCCAGCCTGGGCTCCCACCAGCTCCGGGGAAACCTGGGACACACCGAGAGGGAAACGGCTGGAAAAAAACCCAAATACCTTCCCCCTTTCTCAGCCCCCCTGGGACCTTCCCTATGAAACCCAGAGATTTTGGGTACCGTGAAGACAATGTACAGCTCCATTTATTTAAAAGCAATGTTTACTGAAAACACTTGTTTTCATAGCAAAACAAAACCAAAACCAAAACCAACCTTGAAAGGCTCAAGAGCATAAAATCCAGCTTCATTGTGTAGTTTGTATTTATTTTATCACGGCACGATGGATGGCTCTAATGCTCTGCATAATCCAGGGTGTGGGGCTGCTGTCACTGCAGCAACGTGAAATTAAGCACTGAGTTTTATTTATTTATTTATTAAGACGTGGTTTTATCGACCAGGAAACTTATAAACCAGGAGATATGCACAGTGTGTCTTCCCTGGCTTTGCTTCTAGGTTTTCTTTTTTTTTTTTCCTCCCTTTGAGTTTGCCTGTACTTTGTTTCCAGATGCCATCATAAACAAAGGGAGGAGCCTGGAGAAATAAATCCACGGAAAATTAAGTAGCAGGAACAAGTGCTTACCTGTGCATTTACTTAGGAGTAACTAACCACTCACACAGCCAAAGAACTAGTGCCAAGACTCCCCTGCGTAATTGCATTTTCAAACCTCTGCACTCTCAGAGTGAAAAAGGGATGTTCTCTACCCTCACAAATAATGAATGGCCCTGTTAATGAAGGGAGAGAGGCTTTTAGTGATGGTTAAATAAAACATACCCAATAGAATTAATAAAAAATACACAGCGAGTTCGCATTAGTCCCTCGGAGTAAAAAATGATCCTCTTGAAGTCAGAGCGTTTTTGCCACTCGAGCCGGCGAGATCAGGATTTCACCCACTGAGACTAATGGGACAATTGCTCCGTATAAATCCCCCATCCAGCAATGCATTAAAATCCACGTGGGTACAGCTGTAAACTCGAGGGGTCCTGGCAGAGCTCATAGAGCTGCTCCTTTCCCGTCCTGCATCCATCAGTTATATCCACGGAAAGCAGGAGGTGGGATCAGATGGGGGGGGGGAACCCCCACGTGCCGGGACGTGCCCGGGTTACCCCCAACTCCACTCCCCACAGCCACGGGATCCGTTAATTCACAACTCTCAACAAGGAGATCCAGTCAATACAAAGCCACATCAAACAGAAAAACTCAGCCCACGAAAGTCACGGGTTGTTAAAATGTTTCACCCACAGAGTCGCCTTCTCCGCTGTTTGTTCTCTCTCTTCTGCCTTTCACTTAGCAGGGTAATTAAATCAGGCTCTCAGGCTCGGTTTTAATTTCTGGTTCACATGCCCTCAAACCATGCTGCCGTGCCTGGGACTCATAATCATGCGGGGGGAATATTTGTACAAAAAAAAAAAAATTATCAATACATTTTAATTTAAGACGCCCGTGAAAGCCTTTTTATGCCTCACAGCCGGTTCCGTAAAACCCTCGGCCTGTTTATAAACCCTAAGCAGGAGCATCAGCCTCACTGGCATCATTTCTTTGGCATTTTCCCCCTCTTAATTTTGCTTTTTATTTACATGCTTGTTTGCTAAAATGGGAATAACACCCTAAACACAGAGCAGATAAATAAATGAACGTCGAATGGTCCGTGCTACAAAAAGGAGTTTTAATTTCTCCCACTCAGAGCCTTTTGCTGCCACTTATTTGTGGATCCTGTCAGCTTTTGGGGAGCTGTCAGATCAGATGGAAGCTTTGGCAGGGAAGGGCCGTATCATCCTCCCGTGCCTGTATAATTACAGGTTAGTAATACCAATCCATTTTTCAGAGCCGTTTCTTTACTGAAACACATAAATAAAGGGCCGTGTTGGAGAAGTGGGGCTGCAGACACCCGTCTGTGACGGGATTCCCAGCGAGACCCGCGGGAATCACCCGCCCCCGGAGCCGCCTCTGCTGAATTTAATTGCATTGCTTTATCAAGGTTAGGATTTGACCCAAATACAGAGGGCTCCATGCTGGCCAAAAACAGCGACAAGCCAGGGCTGAGCTTATCTTTCCAACACTTTGGCCGGAAAATGTCGTTTTCCAAACTGACCTTTTTCGTTTCGGTCGCGCCAGTTCGTTTAAAATTTTTCTTTTCTTTTTTTTTTTTTTTTAATCAGAAAGACAATTTATCAGCAAAAAGAGGAAAAAAAAAAAGAAGAAAAAAAATAAATCAGAAAAGAGCACACGCAAACCCACCACTAAAACAAATTATGTAACAGGAAATTTAGATTATGTACATAAAAACCCTCTCCTTATAAATATTTATTACTATTTTTCTTCTGTCTTTTTATTTACTTGAGTACTTCTGATATTTCTAACCCATCACTCATTCAAAATCCACAATTGTTTTAAAGATTTTATCAACCCTTAATGGTTCTTACATAGAAAAATAGAAGGAGTAGAGTGGAGCTGAAGAGATCCACAGCCTAAAGATGCTTTCAGCAGATAAGAAATTTAAAGGCCACCCAAAGTCAATTTGAAAACTTGTTTTGGATGGAGCAAAAAATCTGATTTTTAACAAGGAAAACCAACATGTGCAAACCCCACATGTGCTCTGCTGAGCACAGACACAGCAGCACACAGATGTTCTGGAGATGCTGAGCACAAGCCAAGTGTGCAAGGCAGCATCTCCCATGGGCTTCACTCCCCAAAATCCACCACAACCCCTTGGAATTCCTCTCACTCCAGCTCTGTCAGAGCCAGGGGGGGATTTCCAGCCCAGGTTTACAGTCTGTGCTGGGTGATGGTTCTCACACTGTACGAAAACCTTCTGACAAAACCACGCCAGACCTGCCCTGCAAACCTGGGCTCCTTGGTGAGCACAGCCAAGGACTGCATTCCAAACCCTGTGAGATCCCAGCAGCCCCTGTAAAGGGGCAGATTCTGGAGGAAGTAGTAAAGCTTGTAGTAAAACCAAGCAGGAAAAATATCTCTAATTCTTGCAGCTGCCAAACCCACGCTCTGGACACTGCACTGAACACCACCGAAGCAGAGCTGGTCCTGCATTTGATGGCAGCCTGTAACAGAAGGTGTAAGAGAGCCCAGTCATGCCCCTTGTCCCAGGAATGTCATGCAGAAGGCCAGGGGATGCTCCAAGAATTGAACCACGAGATGCCAATAAAACCAACAACCTGCATCCACCCGGTGATCCCACGCGCCGGTGGGAAGAACACTGCAGGGACACCAGTCCCAGGAGCTCCCCACCATCGCAGTCCCAGCAACCCCAAAGACACAGACTGAGAATTCTGGAGGCCACCTCACTGTAAGGCCACATTGACTCTTCAATTTCTGCATTGAAACTCTGCACTTAATGAACGAAAAACTCTCCAGGCAGCACCAAACTCCACTTTCCAAGCACCAAGGCGTATTTTGTAGCTAAACCACCACAAATACTACTGACAAAGAAACAAAGATGGCAATCCCAGAAGGATTTATAATAAAAGTATATTTTAATTGTCCCATTAGTTTCATTTATAACTTCATGGGTGTTTTGTTGGCATGAAGAATGCTGAGTGCCCCAGTGCCATGGCAGACACAAAGAAAAGACCTTCCACAACCTGCTCCAGCATCACAATTCCCTGTTCCCAGCTCACCAGTGTATAAGGATATGTATCAATTGTTTATGCTTAATAGATATGAATTTATCTGCTGAGGTAGTAACAGAAAAGGAGATAGTAAATGTTTAAATTTCATATTTTAAGAACACGCAAAGCCTGAAGGCAACACACTTGTTCTAGGAAAAAAATCAAGACTATGGTTCCTTTTGTCATTCTTAGAGACACTGCAATACCCACCACTACTTGGATGGCAAAAGTATGTAGATCACCACTGATATTTTAAAATTATATTTATTTATCAGTTTGTATCACGTACCCATCGCTCAGCATCTGGGGATGCATATTAAAATAATATATATGTATATATATAATATATATGTATACATTATTAATCTACAAACCACAATTTAAGTACATTCTTCCTCCTGGGACACAGATCTTCCCAAATCCCCTTCCATCCCCAAGCAAAGGTCTGGGTGAGTGGATCCCAGCAGGGCCTGGAATGGGCAGAGAGGAGCATTGGTGGGGGCCAAAAGCAGCTGTTTGGCCGCTGGAAATTCCTGGCGTTTTACAGACATTTCTGTTAACCTCCAAAAAACCTCCTTCGCATAGATTAGCTCAATATGGGTCATACTCACAAAACGTGCCTTGAACCTTTCTCCCAGTGACGGGGACGTGTCTGCCACGGGGGTTTGCACGAGTCTTCAGCCTGGCACGTTCCCAGCCCGAGCTCCGCGCCGGAGGCCCTGCTCGCCCCACGGCTGCCATCCCGAGCCGGCCGAGCAGCCAGGGCTCCGTGTGGCTGCAACGTCCCCTCCGCTGGGACACGGCAACAAGGTCACGGAAAACCAGCGGCAGCGGAGGGAGGAAAAGATCAAAAGAGAGCAATTACTTCGGAAAGCGCTCGTGGCGTTACACGGCGTGGCACGGAGAGCCGCGCGTGGCACGCCCACGCTCCTGCCGGGAAAGAAGGACCATGCACATGGAGAACCCACCCCAGCAGCAGCAACTCCTCCTGGAGAACCCACCCCAGCAGCAGCAATTCCTGGAGGCCCTTCTCCCACAGACCTCCATTCACCACCGAACGCCCGCCCGGAGTCAATGGAAATGCTCTTGTAAACAAGGGCTTACAAGAACCCAACGTGACAATGATTTCAAAAGGAGTTTTGACTGTGCAATTGTTGCTGGATTAGGGTCTTCAGAAGCACCGAGCTTGCACTGAAGAGCACGGAATTCAAATCTGCAAAGGGCCGGGGCCTCCGGAGCGGAGCCCCGGGAGCGCCGAGGGACACGCTCGGCCTCCAGCACGGGAATGGCTCCTGAGCTCCCCCCAAAGCCCCTGGGGAAGGGATGGGAGCATTGACAAAAGGACAGGCTCTCCTCCCTCCCTTTTAGAGCCACTGACCTAAACTGAACCGTATCACATCGCTGCCTAAACGAGCACGGGATAAACTGTACAAGGACCTCGTTACCAAATTATAGAAAAAAAAATATCTGAAACCCCCAATCACTTGGCAGACATGTTTTTCTTACAAACCAAGCCTATTTGGTGAAATTCTAATTTCAAATAATTGATTCAACAATAAACCGGCAGCCTAGACCAGAAGCACAAACAGCAATATTTGTCTTGCCCAGATAAGTAAAAATTTGGAATAAATAAATCACCCATTCCTTTGCTTATATAAATGCAAACCAGAGCAACAAAACATGGCAATAGTACAAAAGACAAATAAATGAGTTAGACACGGAGCCCAGGAGTTTAAGAAGTCTCCCCTGTATTTAATAAAGCATGAATTATTTTTTTTAGAAACACTAACAGATCCCTTGCAGATAGTTTTTATCTTTATACTATTATTATATAAGACATTTTGTGTTTAAAGTGAACTATTGCTTCATCTAGTTGGCCCCTCTGCTGGGCATAGAAATTAGGTAGTGAACAAAATCAAAAATCACCATTGAATATTACAAACATACAACTTTAAAGCATTTTGAGGTGGTGGGTTTCCCCCCCCCCCAGTCCAAAGAGATAAATAATGGAATCACTGGGAATGTAGAAGTCTGGGGTTTAGCGTCAAATTCCGTGTCTACATGAAATAAAAAAGAAGCCTGAGCCACGGTTAGTTGAGAGACGAAGGAAAAGATGCAATTACAGATCATCCCATTCCATCAGCTCAGCAGGTGGAAAACATTGGAACCAGCGACTTTTCAGAACCGAACCTGACTCTTTGTTTCTAACACACGTCAAAGTCCTCCTGGAACAAGTGAGACTTTTGCTTCTGAAGAACTGAATGCTTAGGATTCTGCAATGATTTCTAATTAAAACATGAAATCTGGCATTTCACAAGGCTCTAGAATTTTTCTGTTTCATTTTTCTCCGAGAAAATGAGTCTCTATCTAGTGCAAAGAAAAATATTCTCCCCCTCTGCCCTTTAGAGAACTTCAGAAAGACCAAACGCTGTTAAACAATTGACTTTGTCTCAGCTCTAAAGAAAAAAAAGGATTAAAATTACTTCCAGGACATTGAGGTTACGCTGTGTTCAAACCATCCAATTAGGAAAAAAAAAAACCCAAAATTATCTTTGGAGAATTAATTAAAACCGGATCAATTATAAACCATATCTTTGCAAGCATTTTACATTCACAACACAATTTTGTTTACGCATCAAATAAGCATTTTGAATGTTTTCTCTTAGCACAGACCACGAATAACTGAGGATATTTAATAATTTGATTAGTTTCCAATTTTAAAATTCCATGTACAGCCTAACAGGGTATTTGGACCTCGACCACTGAGCCTGGAGATGGAAAGAAAGGCTGGAGCTGCCTCTGGCCGCTCCCTGCATCGACACCAGGGTTTAGGCTCCTACCGAAGCAAAAGAGCTCTACAGGACTATCAGCAGAGTGGATCATTCTCTCTCAGGGCTATTTTACTCAAGAGAATCAATTTCAAAAATTGCTCAAAACATCGAATGAAACACAAGTTATCTAAACATCAGATTTTCTAATTTTATTAAAAACGCACAAATTTTATCCAACATGTTTTCTTTCATACAGTGAATGGTCTAATATGCACTGGAGGTCACACAAGCTTAGGTTTATTAGAACAATAAAAGACATATGAGAAATTTAATATATAAAGAAAAAAGTAGCAGCTGTTGACTGCATATTTGACCATAAAATTTAAATATTTTGGACTTTTATTTTAAAGACACAAAAATAAAACCTGTGTGGGTCTATATAAGTCATATTAACAATTCCATGAATGTTCAACAGGACTAAAAATTAGCAAAGATGTTTGTCTGTCTTTTTTTTTTTCTTTTTAACCTTGTAACACTTTTTAAACACCTTCTCGGGTTGCTGGTGCAAAGCACCTTACAGTATTTGTGCTATATATTTACTTTATTTGGCAACTGTCTGGGTTTTGTGGATTTTTTTTTTTCTTTGCCTTCTGTAAACAACACCTTTTACAAACTAGCACAGTGAACCACAAGCCCTGCAATCTGTTAGAACATCTACAGAAAAGAAAATGAACTATTTTGGTTGGTTGCTCAAAATCTTTTGCTTTTGAACAAGAGGTTTTTCTAAAACAGGATTTATTAGTAAAACATTGAGCTCCTGAATTTAACATTAGACGTAAACAGTTGACTGTTTTTAGTTCAATAGAGTCTTTTTGTTTAGCTTTTCTCTCTCTGTGAAGGTAGAATACTTTTTGTTTGTTTGTTTGTTTTTTCAAGTCATTTTCGTTAGAGGTCTGGGTGGTGACCTTTGCTATGATGAGGAGGTTTTTGTACGTGTAGCTTTGTGAAGGTAGAAGAGTTGGTGCTGAGGGCTTAATATTTAGTATTTGCTATTTTTGGAAAAAAAAAAAAAAAAAACAACAAAAAAACCAAACCAAAACCAAAACAAAACAGCAAAGAAAAAAAAAAAGAAAGGAAAAAAGAAAAGTTGTCCCACCTGATCGTCAGCAGGCTGAAATGGCTGAAGCTAAAAAGAGTTTCTTGTTGTCGAACTTTCTGAGAGACAAAAATGAACAAACAGATTCATAATGCCAGAACCATCCTTAACCGGGACCGCTAGAGAGTTCTTGAAGCTTTTTTTTTTCCCCCTTTTCTTTGACCTTTCCTTCATTCAATTATCAATTTCTTATTTTTTTTTTTTTTTTTTTTTTTTTTTTTTTTTTTTTTTTTTTTTTTTTTTTTTTTTTTTTTTTTTTTTTTTTAAAACGAGAAGTTTCTAAGGATTGTGGCTCTTAGGATGACATCCAACAGGGTAAATCAAACTCACGCCATCCTACGGTAATGGCAGCACTTTACTGTACAGCTTCCCCAGTTTCTTTGTCAATGGTACAAAAAAAGTCCCCTCGCTTGTTTGATACAACCATAACATGGAGATTGTCCTGGTCTAGAGCAAAGCTTGCCTTGGAGCGATTGGATTCAGTTCGTTCCCAAGGTAATATTGTCTTAGGGCAGGAGAGATGTTATATTAATTCATTTCTGTACACCATAACAATAAGCAGACTAGATGATCATCACTTACTTAAGACCCAGTTCGTTTTAAAGCTACCACACAGCTGCTTCGTTCATTTCTGGAGGGTGGGACAAGTGATTGCCGTAGTTAGCACCACCGTTGACGGATATCGACGAAAAGGGGGGGCTGGGGCCAAAAACTTCCGCGGACATGGAGTGCAAGGACCCGGGCAGGTTGGGTTCGGGGCTGGGCGAGTCTCCCGGGGGGTGCGACATGATGTCAGTGAAGCGCTGAGCCTCACTGGAGGGGTGATGTCCGGGCAGGGGGTGGTCCATGGCCCCCAGCGGGGTGCCCGACGGCCCCGAGGAGGGCACGAAGGGGAGATCCACGGGGGTCTGCGCTTGAGACGAAGGCGGTCCTTGCGGGAAGAAATCGTAATTGCTTCCAGGGCCGTAATACTCGCTCTGATAATCTGGCGGACAAGGAGAGACAGAGGGAAGGTAACAGGCGGGCACCCGAGCGGGAACGACGCGGGAGCGCTCCCACGGCCGCGCGGCTGGGGGGCTCGGGGCGTCACCCACGAACCCGAGGGGGAAACCGGTTCCTGGGCTGGCCGGGCTCTGGCAGCCCTGGGATCCCTTCCCGCAGAGCAGCGGAGGCACCGACACGAGCCGGCATCCCAAAAACACCGGGGGAACACCGGGGTCCTGCTGGCAGCGCCGCGACGGCCACCCCCGGGAGAGGGAAGTCCCGTGACAGGAGGGGAAGCCGAGCGGGACGGCCCCAGGACAGCGGGACGGCCCCAGGACAGCGGGACGGCCCCAGGACAGCCCCAGGGCTGCGGGGCAGCGCTGCCGGGAGCTGAGCCGGGAGCCTGGCGTGTCCCCCTGGTGTCCCCGCGGGTGTCCGTGCATCCCGGCACGGGGTGTCCGCGGGCACAGGGGGTGAGGGGCCGCGGGGGGGGGAGCGCGTTACCCACCTCCGTAGAAGGAGAAGGGCCCGTTGGGGATGAGCTCCCCGGGCTCCAGCCGGTCCACCAGCGGCCGCATCCTGCGCGGGCTGCGGAAGAAGGCGTGTCGCCGGGCGCCCAGCGCGCTCAGCTGCTTCATCCGCCGCTCCTTGGAGCGCCGGTTCTGGAACCAGACCTGCGCGGGCGGCGGGAGAGGCGCCGGTCACGGGAGCCGCGGCATCGGGGGTCTCGCTCACGCCGCCACCCTGCACCCCCCTTCCCCTCCGTTCCCATCCTCATCCCCACTCCAGGGTCGCGTTTTTCCCCTTTCCCCGTCTCTTTTGCCGGTGCACCCCTAGCCCAGCTCCTTCTCGTTCCAAACGGGGCCAAACCCACGCGTGACGGCGGCCCCGCTCCCCGCCGGCTGCAGGTCAAGAATGATTGAGTTAATTCTTATTACCCTGACAAGATTACTGCTAATTACTCTCACACTGAGCCTCTCCAATCTAACCTCGCCTTTAATGGTCCTTTAACCCCCCATTACCCCAGCGCTGCGGGTTTATAAACCTTTTAATAATTCCAGCGCATTGTCATTCTTATTTACCCATTAACCCCTCACATTTCTGGTTATTAATTTCGAAACTACTTTCAGCTTCTTCAGGATTTTTGAGAATAAACCCGCGGCTCCCGGGAAGGAGCCGACGGGCTGGGAAGCACCGGGAAGCTGCCGGGGCACCTCGGTAACAACGATTTAAAAGGTCGGCGGGGCTTTCTCCAGCTCTGCCGTGCGGGGGGTGCCGGGCACCGGCCGCTCCTCATCCCTGCATCCCCAGAGTCGCATTCCCGCATCCCCCGGAGCCGTGCCCGGTGCCCGGAGGCGGCGGTACCTGGATGACCCGCATGTTGAGGCCAGTCTCCTGTGCCAGCTGCTCCCTGATGTGCCGGGTGGGTTTTGGGGTGGCCGCGAAGGCGGCTTTCAGAGTCTCTAGCTGTTTGGCTTTGATGGTGGTGCGAGGTCCCCGCCGCTTGGCCCCCAGGTTCTGGTCGTCGTTTTCGTTGCTGCCCGTCTCCTTGTCGGACACGTTGGCGCTTTCCGAGTCCTTGGCGTCGTCCTGGGAGGGGTCTTGAGAGTCGGGGGACAGGCTGGGGTCACTGCCGGTGGTGGCTGGGGGAGAGCAAACCGGGTCATGGTCAGCCAGGGGCGGCCAGGGGGAAATAACGACCGTGACGGACAGGCCGCGGTACGACAGGGGAGAGGAGGGGAGAGGAGAAAAAAGGGAGAGGAGAAAGGGAGAAGAAAAATAAAGGAGGGACAATGGAGAGGAGAAAGAAATGAAACGAAAAGAAAGGGAGAGAAGAAAGGACAGGAAAAAGAAGGGAAAGGAGGAGAGAGAAGAGAAGGGAGAAAGGAAAGAAAAAAGAAGGAAGAAAGAAGGAAAAGAAGAAAGAAAGGAAAAGACGGGAGAAAGAAGAGGAGAAAGGAAAGGAGAGAAGAAGGGAGAAGAGCATCTCATCCGAAGGAGCAGCCGGGGCTGAGCACATCCCTGCCCGCATCACCCGGGCTGCGCTCCCTCACCTGAATGCAGGCTGTTTTCTTTGGCAGTATTGCTGTTATTTAGGTAATCTTCTTTGCAGACAAACTTGTTCTCGTCTATGATGTAGAGCTCCTCGCCGGTGGAGAGTTGCTTGTTACACATCATACACGTAAAACAGTTCAAGTGGAACACTTTGCTCCGCGCCCTGCGGACCAGGTCGCTGGGGGAGATGCCCTGGGCACAGCCCGCGCACTTGGTCCCGAAACACCTGCGGAGAGAGGCCGGGCAGCGGGTCAGCAGCGCCCGCCGAGCCGCGGGGCCCCGCGCCCCTCACCGCGGCCTCCGCTCGCCCCGCCTGGCCGTGCAAAAACGCAATTAAACAAAATACGGCGTCCCCGCGCGGAGGGCTCTCTCTTCCTAACGAGGGAATTCTTGACGCTGTATTTTTTTAAAAACAAAAATCAAATCGGCCTGGGCAGCGGGGCTGCGGGACTGATGGACCCCGGGGCTGCGCTGCCCAAGGTGTCCCCTGCGCCCCGACACCGCGTTAACGACGCTCTAATAAACACCACGCAGAAATTCCATCCGTTCCGAACGCTGCTACCGGCCCCGGCCGGAAGAGCCGCCGGTGCGGGCAAGGTCAGCGCGGGGAGCGGGGGGACGGCGGGGCCGGACCCGCGGCGGGGCCGGGGGCCTCCCGAGTCCAGCTCGACCCCGCGGGGCTCTCGGGACCGGGGCAGGGCCGGGCCGATCCCCGCGGAGGAGCGGCGGGCTCGGGGCAGTGCCGGTCCCCGTGCCCAGGAAGAAGCGGCTGCGGGGCTCGGGCCGCGCGTTGTGCGGGTGTGCGGTGGCGGCTCGGCGGCCGCCCCGGCCCCGAGCCGGTCCTTGCCCTCCTCGCCGGAGTGCGGCGGCGGGGCCCGGCACCGGCGGCCGCTCCGAGCCCGGGATTGATCCCGGTGCCGGGATGCGCGGGGGAAGCGGCGGCGAGAGAGCGTCGGCACCCGCTGCCCTCTCCATCCATGCGGCGGGGAAGGGTCGCTGCCCTCCGGGGCAGCCTGGGCTCGCTTGGACGGGAGGCGATGGGCCCGCGGAGCGCCCGTACCGGGCCTTCCCCGGCGGCACCGGGCCCGGGCGAGCAGGGAACAACGCGGGACTCCGGCCCGGACAGCGCCGCGCTCACGGCCGCGGAAAGCCCCGGCGGGGTCACCCCGGCTCCCAGCATCGGGCCCGGGACGGCCCCCGCACACCCCCCGCCACGGGCCCGCAGCACCCCCGCACCGCTCTGCCCGTCGATAGTTCGGGAGGAACTTTGGGGAACTCGAGATCGGCCCGTCACCGACACGCACGGCCCGACGGGCCCTTCCCCGGGCCCGACCCCCGCCGCCGGTCACCGGGAGAAATAACAGCGCTTCGAGACGTTCGCGTGTCACGGGGAGGGAAGAGGCGCTTGTGGGTCCCGCTGACAACGGGGGGAAACAGCAGAAATAAAGAGGAAAAAAAACGGAGATGGAAAACGGATGGAGAGGAGCGGCAGGGCCGGTACTTACCGAAAGAAGTCGTTTTTGCAGTAAAGCTTGCCTTCTCGCGAAAAGCATTTCTCTGTCAAATTGCATTTACATTCACAGCACTGAACACACTTCACATGCCAAGCCCTGTCCAGTACATTCAACAAAAACCGGTCCAAGATCGGCCTTTTGCAGCCTGCACAGTGAACCATTGTCTTTGGTTAGTTCTGAGGGGGGCAGCGGTTTCCCAGGTGTCAAGAAAAAAAAATTAAAACAACGATTTTTTTTTTCAAAAAGATGACAACACCGGCATAGGTTTGCTTTTTGTTTTGTTTTGTTTTTTTTTTTTTTTCCTCTGTCTCTCTCTTTTTTTTTTTTCTGTGAGTGTATGTGTTTGTTTTAAAAGCCTTGGAGAAGTGAAGGAGGAGAAAAAGAAAGGGAGGAAGAAGAAAAATCTTCGTTCGAGTGTCCTAGGAGGGGTACACAGGAGAACCCCCCACTGCCCAGCGCTTCGACACAGCCGTAGGATCCCGGCTGCTACCAACCACACGGATAATAATAATAATAATAATAATAATAATAATAGTAACAATAAAACAATAACGGCTATAAAGATCGGCGTTCAGAAAAAAATAAAAATTAAAAAATTAAAAACAAAACCGCCAAAAAGCGAGCATGATGAGTTTTTCTCGAGTCTGAGGTAGAGCAGTCAGGAGTCAAAGTGCTTTTCCCAAAGAGAAATCAAAGGAGGAAAAAATATAATAATAATAATAACAATAACAATAATAATAATAAATAACGAGCCGGGACATGGAGAGGCGGTGGCGGTCAGACGGGCTGTGGCTGCTGCCGCGGCGACATCGCCCTGACGCGGGGTTGGGGACACGCGGGGACGGGGACACGCTCCGCCGCTCCTCGCTCCGCCGCTCGCTCTCGCTTCTCTCCCTCTCCCTCGACGTCTCGGCGGCCCCGTCCGTCCGTCTGTCAGTCCGTCCGTCCGTCTATCAGTCCGTCCGTCAGTCCGCCAGTCAGCCCTACCTACCCCCGCGCATCGCTACCCGCGGCGGCCGCCCGTGTCCCCGCCGAGCCGGCGCGGCGTGGCATGGCCCGGGCGGTGTCGGTGTCGGTGCGGAGGGCCCGGGGCGGGCGGGCCGGGCCGGGCGGAGGGCGCGGGGCAGAGGGGCGGCCCCGCCGTCCGGCCGCGCTGGGGGCTCTGCTCATGGTCCCGGCGCCGCCGCCGCCGCAGCCTTATGGACCGCGCGCGCACGTCACGGCCCGGCCCGGCCAATCGCCGCCGCCGCCGCCGCCCCCCCGCGCCCGCCGCGCCCGCGCCGGACGGGGCGTCCGCGCCCCTTTATAGGAGCCGCCGGGGCGCCGCCGCCGCCTCCGCCCGCGCCGGCCCGCCGGCCGACCGGCACACCGACATCACCGACCGGCACACCGACAGACACACTGACAACACCGACAGCACCGACCGGCACACCGACAGACACGCCGACCCACCGGCACAGCGACCGGCACACCGACGGCCACCAGAGCCCGCTGGCAGCGGTAGGTTCGTGTCGGTGCGCGGATGAGGGGACGGCGGGTGCGAGGAGACGGGGCGGCTCGATGGGGTCTGGCACCCCCCGCACAGGGTCACGGGTCCGGTATAGGGGCAGCTCGCTGGCGAGCGGCGGCGAACGAGATGCCGGTGTAGCGGGGCTTCCCCCGTCGCGAACGGCGCGGCCCGAGGGCGCGGGGGCTCCCGCGCTGCGCAGAACTGAGGAGAACCCGCCTGTCCCGGGAGGAGCCCTGCGGTGCGGCCGGGGCCGGGCCCCGTGCGCTCCGACGGGGCGGCGCCGGTGGGGAGGGGGCGGCGGGCCCGGGGCCCCCCGGCCTCCGAGGGCAGTGCGAAGGCGCCGGTCACTTCGCGGTGGTTCCGTTACCGGCGCTCGCAGTGCCCGTCCCGGGCCGAGGAGCACCGGCTACCGGGATGGACTTTTTTTTTGGGGGGGTGGTAAATAAAGATTAATTCGCTTTTACCTTCCAAGGGTCGGTCGGTACCGGGGCGGTGCGGAGGGACGAGGTTTCTCTTTCCTTTGCGCTCTCCTGGCCGGCGGGAGCCACCGCTCCGGGGAGGTGTCACCACCCGGTCCCGGGCCCCGCCAGCCCCGAAGCCGGCCCCGCACCGTCCCCTCGGGCCGGCTGAGCCTCCGCCGGGGAATTAGGAAGGGAACGGCAGATTGAACGGCCCCGGCGTGCCCGGGGTTACACACACGGTTGGCAGCCGGGGCTGAGCGCGGGGGTCGGCGGAGGCCCTCCCCGGAGCCCGCAGCATCCCCCGCCTGTACCCACCGACCGCGCTCTCTTTCACGTCTGTTTTCCTCATCCTTGAGGAAAAGAAAAAAGCGAGGGAGGGAGAAATTGGAAGATAAAAAGGAAAAGGAAGGCAGGAAGCCCGCTCCGCGCGGGGGGCAGCCGGACGGGCGGGAGTGCGGAGCCTGCCCGGTCCGGCAGAGCCAGTTCCCGGGGCTGTCCCCGGGCCGAGACATCGCCTCGGAGCTCCTGCGGATGTTTAAAAGCCCGGGGGTTGCGTTCACGATATCATCTTTGCCCCCCTCGCAGGTCCCCCCTCGCGGCCATCCCCTCCCCGTCGGGGCGCGCACCGGGCGCGCAGGGCTCCCCCCGCCCAGCTGCTGGGCCGCTTTGCCGCCGCTCTCGGGGATCAATAGAGCCCTGGGCTCCCCCCGCCCGGTGCCCCCGCACATGGGCCGCTTCTCATGCGGAGCCGCGGGGCCGGGGCGGGCGGGCGGCCCCGCTCCGCCGCCCGGGAAGGCGACAGCTGCGGGCAGCCGTCAGGGGAGCGCGACCCTCGGCTGCGGCCCCCGGTGACATGTGTCGGTGGGGATGAATGAGGGGAAGGAGATGAGCATCTCGTGTCCATCAAGCACCAGTTTTTCACAGCGATTTTTTTTTTCTCCTTTCCCAGGCGCTAGCGAAAGCATCTGGTTCTCCCCTGCTCCCCGGGGGGCACAGACCGCTGCCCACCCCCACCTCCCCGGAGGTGCGGGGTGCCCCCGCACCGCTGTGATTATCGCGGGGCTCTGCCCGCCCGCCCCGACACAAGCAACCCCCCCAAAATCCCGCTCGGGGGAAGTGGCAGCACAGACGAGGGGGGCTGCTCCCCCCGGTCGGAGGGGGCAGTGGGTGTCCCCCATCCGCCTCACCCCCCAACGGGAACCCCGACCCAGAGCAGGCGTTTGAGAGGAGAAAGTGCTCGCGCTTGTTTCCAGCAGGATCCGAAAATCAAACCCCGCTATCCCCAGGCTCCCTCGAGTCTTCTGTGCCCCCCAGGACACTCGTGTCCCGGCGTGGGGCACCCACGGGAGCCCCAGACGGAGGGGAAAAATCCCCCAAAGCCACGGGGATGGGCGGCACAGTCCCCTCCTAGGGCCGGGCCTCTGAGTCGGGGTGGATTTTTTGTTTTTCACTGCATCTCGCAATTCGCCCAGATCCGTTCCCGGCCGGGTCCGAGCCCCCAGCCCCGGGCGGGACCGAGCCCACCCGTGCTCAGCAGGGAGCCGGCCGGGATGTTCCAGAGCAACCTCGCTCGGCCTCGGTGAGGGACATTAGAAGCGTACAAAAAGAAAGAAAGAGAAAAAGAGGGACATCAGAAGATGTTTTTAAAAGGAGAAAATTAAAAAGTAAAAAAAAAAAATTAATAGAGAAAAAAGGTTAAAAAAACAGAGAGAAAGTAAAAGAGGAAAAAAAGAAAAGAAAAAGGAGTGAAAATAAAAGACTAGAAAAACCAGACCAAAAAAAAAAAAAAACCAAACAAACAAAAAGCCCAAACACAAACTCAAATTAATTTTAAATCTAATACAGAAGGAGGGGGGAAAAGTCCTTTTCAGGCGAGTTTAAATTTGCATTTTATTGGTGTCGTTCCCGTCTTTTTAGTTAAACATCACCCTGTTTATCATCCCCCTTTCCCCACCGCTGCGCTGGGTAATGGGATTTCTCTCTCCTTTACGGTGCACCGGTGCCGTACAAACACCGGAGCCCTCTCGCCGAGGACCACCGCGGTGCGTTGCGGGGCATCCCCGCATCCCCAGCTGCTCCCTCCCTCCAAACCAGGCAAAAACTTCCCTCCCACGCGCTCGCAGACACTTTCCACCATGTCCCTCCCCCGACAGCATTAAGTTTTCCCCTCTTTACCTATTCATTTTTAATTTGATTTTTTTTTCCCCCCGTCCTTTTTAACCTTTCACAACGACCGCGCACGGGATCGGGGATGATACCGCGCTTTGCGCGACCGGCGGAGCCGGTGACCGGCAGCATCCCCGACGCGGGGGGAGGCCGGGGGAGGCCCTGAGTTCCCGTTCCGACCCCTCCGCATCCCGGTGGAGCCCTGCCCGGGGTGCGGGGGTCGCTCCGAGACGCCGCCGCGCTCCCCTCCGGGAGCTACCGGAGCGCCCCCCGCCACCCCGGGCAGCGCCGCGGGGGGACAGCCCGTGGAGAAAGTGGGGGTCGCATCTCTCACCCCCCTCCCCACCACTTTCCCCCGCAGAAAGAGCGCCTCCGCCTGATTAAATATATATGCGGTTAATGCACTATCCAAATATTGAAGTTAAGATGTAATTAAGCCTGTAGAACATCCCCGCGCAATAAACCCCATGGCTGGACAGGATCCGTCGCCAGGTTTGTTTTAAAAGAGCTTTAAAAAAAAAAAAAAAGAAGAAGAAGAAGAAGAAGAAAAAGAAAAAAGATCTTTAAATTATGTATTAGAGGGTCCCAGTTTATCCTGCCACACTCGGGTCGATGCTGAGGGTAAACACGGCACTGTCCCCCCCGGCTCCGCTCGCCTTTCCCTTTTCTTTTATTTCTTTTCTGTTCATTTTCCTTTTTCTTATTTATTTTCCTGCCCCCCTCCCCCGTGATTAGCCCTCCCGGGTTTCTTCCCACGTCGCTAAATGTTGTCGCTTACACTCCAAGCTCATGCATTGTTTATGCGAAATATAGTTAATAAATAATTACAAATCCGAGGTGTGCGGCTCTGCCTCTGACTGACGGGAAAGTGGCCGGGAAGGGGGTCCCCGAGCCCGCCCGGGAGCGGGGCCCGGCGGGGCAGCCTGGGGGGCTTCGGGGCGAGCCCGGTGGGGGGTGCGGGTGTGTGAGAGCTGAGCGGGGTCCTTCACGCTGTTAAAGGGCGGATAAAAGACGAATAAAAGAGAAAAGAAAGAAAAGTGAAGTGGTAGCGGGGGCGGGAGGGGGGGCTATAAAAAAAGAGGGTGAAGCGAACCCCCGGAGGATGCACCGCTCCCGGCTCATCCATCTTCATTGTCTCCGTGTGTGCAAAAGCAACTCCAGTCTAAGGAAAAGCCACTATCAAAGCCATGGCTTTATTTTATATCCTATAGATCAGGAGGGAGGCAAAGCTTTATTTTCGCCCAGAGACAGATATTTTATTTCTCTCTTACGGTTTTATGTGTGAGAGATGTCAAAAAGGTAAAATAGATTGCTAATGCATAGGCAAAACGAAGCTGTTTTGGCATGCTCTGTGTCAGGAGGGCTCCCAGGGAGCGCGGGCTGGGGATTTAGGGCTGATGGGGGACTCGAGGGGATTCTGCTAAAACATCTCTCTCCATAAATCCAGCCGCGTGGTCAGCGCGAGCGGCAGAAGGAGTTTTAAAGGGGAAGAGTTGGGGCGCGGTGGAGCAGAGCGGGGACCCCCACGACCCCCGGCCCCGCCGCCCCCGGCCCGCCCCGTCCCGTCGGGGCTCCGGGGGGTTGCAGCGGTTGTTCCCATCGCTTCTCCCGGCGGAGCTGCGGCGCTGGGGACCCCTCGGCGACGCTGCCGGCGGCACAAAGCGCTCCCGGCTCATCCCGCCCGGCCAAGACGAGCCCCCACCACCCCCCAAACCGCCTCCTCGTTTTTTCTCTCCCAAACGAGCACCCACCCCCCGACATCGGTCTAAGCCCCGGAGCGGCGGCTGCTCAGCATCTGCCTCCCCGACCCCGGCAGCGGATCTGCACGGACCTTTTCCAAAGTTAAAATATATCTCCCCAAGCTGCAACAATTTTCATACTTTTTGACCTCGGGGATTTACTTAGCACGTTAAGTTCAAGGCTCAGAAGCCCAGGGCTATTACTCATTTAGGCACTCCCACCACCAACACTTTTCACCACATATTTTATCATTTGACTTCCTGGCTTAAATTCATGTTATGGCAAATAATGGATGGTAATACTTTCCCCCTTCCCCATGTTAATTGTCTTGTCTGACAGCCTCCGCATTTGAAGTGATTTAAAGCAAACAAGGGTGCAGCGAGAGCAGGAGACAAACCAGCACAAAACCTCTGCGGGAGCCCTGCGGCTCCGGCTCTTCCCTCCCAGGTTGGGGGCTGGATCCAGAGCACAGCAAAGCCCCCTCTAAAGCGTCGCCCAGCTCTTGCTGGGGTCACTGCCATGCAGAGGCTGCTTCCCCCCAGTGCCCTGCAGCCCCCGGGGTGACATGGGGGGGGTAAGCTCGGGCCTGCCTTGGGCCCCTCTGGCTCTGCTGTCCAAAATATTGCTTCCTCGAGGTGGCTGAAATGGGAAATCAAACCAGAGCGCTATTTGCAAATTAAAAAAAGCAAGGTGTAGTTGATTAGCAAATTAATTATTTCAGTACCCCCAGGATTATATTGTTTTTCTAAGTTCTGTGGGCCTGTGTAATTTACTAATTTCACAGTCACTGAACTTCCCTGGGAGTGAGAGGCAACCTCTCCCACCTCTCTGACACGTCCTCGGGATCCTGCGTGGAGGCAGCGGCTCCGTCGGCAGTGTCAGAGGGAAGAGGGTGCCCAGACCTTTCCCTCTGCTCCTGCCACTGACCTGCTGCCTGACCCTGGCCAAATTCTTTGTTTCTCTTCTTTTTGAGGTGGACAGTGCCTTCCTTCCCAACAGAAGCAGCTCCTCCAGCTTAGAAAGCAGTAACCACAGAGGTTTTCCTCTACCCAACACTATCACTGGCTTCCTGTATCCGTATGGAGAAAGGGCTGCTGCGTTACTTGTCCTTCACAAGCAGCTGGAGAAGAGAATTCACAGCCTAAAAGGGTTTTTGTCACCAGCAGAATGTCAGTTTTTGGTGTCTGACACCATCATCACACAGACCATTTGGGGAAAATAACTGAAATCCAAACAAACAGGACTATGCCAAAAAAAGGCAGGGATAATATGCCTGCAGTGGTGGGAAACCAGCGCTGCCCTCTGCCTACCTGCCACAGATGCAGGAGCAGGGCTTGGTTTGGGGTGAAAAAAAGCATCCCCTGGACCAGGTACCACAGAACCACGAGCTTCCCTCGCCAGGTGAGACAATGGATCCAGAGCTCCTGGTTGTGTTTCTGTCTGTCTGCTTAGTCCTGACTCCTGACTAATCTTCTATATATAGATTCTGTTTGTTACGTTACTATATAATATCCTATTTATATAGGTTTCTATTTTAAGGGTTCTGAGAGGCCACAGAGGTTCTGCCCAGCCTGCCTTTCCCCACTTTATTGGCCACACACAAACCCAGGCAGCTGGGTTAGTGCAGTTTGAGCCCAACCAAGTTCCTGACTCCTGGGTGCCTCCAGCCCAGCACGAAATTTTGTCTGCTTGGGACAAGTGGCCAAGAGCCAGGTAAGAGGCAGCCGTGGTGTGGGAGCCCATGGCTGCAAGTGCTGGGAATGTGGAGGGAACCAAAGAGGTCACTGCACGCTCCAGGCAGGGCTCGTTAGCGCTGCACTGCGTGTGGAACCTGAGCTGCTAATCGAGCATCACCACCCCACTGGCATGGAACTGGAGCACGGCAACAGGATGTGGTCAAACACATTGTTTTATAAAAAAATGCACATTTTTTGTAAAAACTCTGCGTCCTTCCCCTCCTCTGTGAGAGGTGCCCTGAGCTTTGCTGACGCACACCAGCCCATCTCGGTGCGACAGCGAGGATGTGGCACCCACAGTCCCATTACTCTGAAATGCATCAATATGCTGTGTTCGAGACAAAAACCCAGATCATCTTGGTCTAGAATGTGAAATTTTACCAGTTCCAGCTATTTTTTTTCAGGAGAAGCCGGGGCTGAGCTGCATTGCCGTGAGGGTCCTGCCTGCCAGTGCTCTGCTGTCCCCCGCTGTGCTCCAGGAGAAGCACCCACACAGGGCAGAGCCACACGCTGGCACTGCCACGGAACAACCCTCCGTGCTCAGAAGCTCACTTTAAAAAACACAGATTGTTCTAAAATAATCCTTCCTCGGCATCACTGGGCTGTTATTCCAGCCAGGCCTGGCAATCCCTGCCAGTGTCACTGTGTTGGTGAGGCAGCGCAGGAGGGCACGGGGGGGAAGCAGCTTCTCGAGGGTCAGCCAGAGATGGACACAACCCAAACCTCCCAACTCCCACTTAGACACATTTTACCTCTCAGCTCCCTTTTTTACTGTCTTCCTTGGTGGGTGGGGTGAAAAAACAACCCTCCAGACCCCGTGTGTGTTGCTCTCTCCAGGGCTGGACGTGGCTCCAGAGCCTGGCACAGGGCATCATCCGCACTGGGAACGCAACCCCACAGCAGCATTATCATTCCAAAGTGGCAAAAACATCACGCCAAAGGCTGCTCACCCCTGGCTTTGTTGTGCCACGGTCTGAATCAGCCCTTTTCCTGCTGGATGCCGTCAGTTGTGTGTTGGTCTCCTGGCAGCTGGCTGGGAACATCCTGCACTACAGCCGCTCACGTCAGCTGCTCCCAGGAACACGCTCGGGGCCGCACACCCAGCCTGGCTCATCAGCCAGTGGGAGCCACTCCCTGCTCCTCTCCCTACCCACGACCCTTCTCAAGTCACTGGGTTTGTCACTCATGAGTTACTGGGGACTGAGGGCTCTGCGTCAGCCCAGTTCTGGTGTGCTCCTCTCATCTCTCTCTATCCACAGGTGGAAATGTCTCCAGAGAGCAGAGGCCGAGGCACCCACAAACCAGCGTAACCACGGAGGCACCGGAGGCTTTTCCTTACAAACAAGTAAACCTTGTCCCTTATTTATCTGCACTTCCTTTAGGGGCAACCCCAAACCCTAGTGAACAGATTCACAAAGTATCTTTCTCCTGCCTGGGAAACGTCACCATTTTCACTGAAGCCAAGGAGCTGTTCTGTGCTGGTGGTGTCGTGTACGTATGAAAACGGAAACTTCCCGAGATGTTCAGACTCGGAAACTGAGAGTCTGCAGAACTCCCAGCCAATGTGGGTTTTTTCAGTCACTGAAATAAAATCTACATTGCTGCAATTAGTTAATATTTGTAAAGCCCCTAAGATTGCAGAATAAATGGCCGAAGGAAATTCTCATGGTTATTAGATAAATGTGTTAATAATAACGGCGATGGCTGGTGAGGACACGTCGCTCCTAATGATGTACAATTTATTTCCCTAAGACTGTACTAATAAACAAAACTTGCTTTTAAAATCTGATGTATTTATTCCATATATGCTCTCAGATCAAAGGAGTTTCTCTCCCCACAGCATGGTCTTCCTCTTCTCCCTCCCTGAAATCTCTCATTAACTCTTGCCATGCCGTGTTGTTGATAACAGGACACGCACCCCTCCGCACTCAGCACTCCACATATTAAACGCTGCTGCCCTTGGATGCGGCCTGACATCCTGCTGCCAGCACAGGGACATCCCAAAGGGTCACTGAACCTCTGTGATGGAGTGTTGGTGTTTGTCCTCATCCCAGCTTGGGCTTTGCAGGGAATCCCTGCATGGATCTCCAAGTCATGGATCACCCGCGTTCTCTCCAACCAACCTAAGCACACACCGCATGTTATGTCCCTGTTATCACTTCTCCTGTAAAACCAGAGAAGCTGCTCCAGAGGAGCACTGTCACAAAGGACAGTGTTTCCTTTCCCTTCAAGGGCCAGCTCTCACAGCAGCTCCGTGCCCGTGGTGTCTGCACAAGGTGAGGAGCAGCGGGGAGCGGCGCCGGGCTCTGTGCCGACAGAGCTGTGCGCAGAATCCCTGCCCTCGCCTGCCTTTGCACAAAATCGATAGGGTGCTAATTCCAAACACATCTTTTCTGCATACCTGCAGGAGATTATGTCCCTGCCCCGGGAAGCACACACAGGGAGAGGTTCCCTTCCCACCTCTGACCACAGCCTGGATGAGCAAACGCCGAGGGCAGAGTCCTGTGGCGCTGCGGGGCCGCTCCGGTGTTTGAGGAGCGGTTTAGGGCTGTGCGTGCTCTGCAAAGGAGATTTCCTACTGCTGCTTTTAAAACCCCCCATTAATATTCCACAGGGCTGGTGCTTCATGCGGGAGGGAAATGCCATTTCCAAATACCGATGCCGTTCTCATTCCCTCATTTGAATTCGAGCACTTTCGTACGCAAGACACCGACTTGTTTGGCTTTCAGAATGACCACGGGAAAGCTTTTTCCAGTGGCAATACTTAAAACAAGTCACTGCACACCGACAGGGACAGTCGTGTTTGGGGTCCTGATGCCACCCAGGACACCAGGGTGTCATTTGGGGTGACTCCTGCATCACTGCAGAGCCCTGAGAGGTGAGTGTGCACCACCTTTGCTTTCCAGAGGGAAAGCAAGTGGAGGTAGGCACCCATAAAGCATCCTGACCCTTCAGATTTTTGTGGAAATCCCTGCCCTGGATGCTCCAGGGTCATGCCAGGGCTGTGCCTGGTGCTTGGTGCCCAGCTGAACACGTGCCATCCCCAGACAGACACAAACCAGGCTGCTACTCACACAGGCTGTAATAATGCATGAGTGTTTCAAATTCAGACAGAGAGAGGAAGAGAAATGTTTGAAAAGAGCAGTTTTAGAATTTTATAATTAACAGAAAATACCCTGTCCTTGGGCATTCCCCCCTGTGAGGTCCAGCTCGTCCCAGGGAAGGGTGGGAGGCTGGACCAGGCAGGTCCATCCTAGAGCTATCACCCCCTGGGGCTGGATCCACCTTCAGAGCCCAGGGTAGGAGAGGGAAAATCACATCCATCTGGAAAATACATGGGGTTTTTTATTACTACTAAAATTAGGAAATCCACATTACCCCTAGAATCAGGAAATGCACCTTTGGAGGTGTTTGCCCAACTACCTGAGGGACCTGGTCAGGTGAAGGTCTCTGGGCAGGGAAGAAATTCCAAGATAAAGAATAAAATTAATCTACAGTGGGAAGCCACACGAAAAGCTGCTCATCTTTCACTGCCCTGACATGTTGCTGCTTTTTTTGTGTGTCTGAAAAAAATCAACTGAACTCCTGAGTTGACATGAAAATAAAAAAAATATAGTTAAAACAACTCTGAAATGGTCATACAACCAAAATACCTGCATGAGATGTTAAACCTTCTATCAGGGAGCTCAGCTGCCTTTTTTTTTTTTTTTAATAAATCTACAAAATATAATTAAATTGGTGATGGCAAAAAAAAAAAAAAAAGGAGCCCAGTCCAAACCCTTATAAGGATATTTCAGCCATGCTGAGGTTCCTTTTCCATAAATGTTAAGCAGACATCTGTAAACATAATTGGAATTTACTGCACACGTGAATAACTGCATATAAATTAGCCTGTGTGGTTGGGGTTTAAGGAAGGGCTGCAGGTCCCCCCCCCTTGTCGATAAGACGCCGGCGTTCCCGGAGCACATCCCAGCTCAATTCCAAATGTCAATTTGCTACGTTTTAATTTTTTGTTTCTTTTTTTTTTTTTTTTTTTGCCTGGTTCTATTGCCTTGTTACATTTATCATAAAGCCCCTATACATGAGACAAATTCTGCTGAATTTCGTGCGTTCCCAGGTTTGTTTACCAGGCTGATAGTTATTCTTTCGGAAAATGCGGAGCGGTATTGTCAGGGATTGCTCAATATTAATGACGGAGACCCGGGCACTGGAGAGAGCTGAGTGAGCACAACTTCATTCCACCATTCCTCGGGGGTTTTTTCCCCTGTATTTTTTTCTCCCTTTTCCTTTTTTTTGCCTTCTTCTTTGTTATGGGCAGGACCGTGCAAAGCGTGGAGCCTTCTGGCCCTCACCCTGGAGGGTCCCACGGCCAGATCCCTGCTTTTCCATTGATCAAGTCAGTGATCAAGAACATTGATCCAGTCAATGGAAAAACATCCAACTTCTGTGGCTCAGGATCAAGCTTTTAAGCACCTGCTTAACTTTATGCCCAGGGGCTGGAAAGTCCTAGTTAAGCCACAGTGAAACCTGTGCATTGTGATGAAGGTGCCTCTTCCTCCTCATGCCCTTCTCCACCCTCCTGTCCTCACACGGGTCCAGTGAAAAGTTGGGAATCCCATACTGGGAGCAGAGGGGAAAGCAGGAGGGGCACGGTGAACTTGTCAAGCCTTGGTTGAGCCCAGCATGAAGAAAGGTGTCCAGAAACACATAATTTAGCTAAAACAAGGATTATTTTGGAGTCAGTCAGGAGTGGGGTTGACACAAAGCCACATTTTCTGTGGATTTAGTGGAAACAAAGGGTTGTGCCCATTCCCAGTGACACCTGGCTCAAACCAGCTCAGCCTTGGGCTGTGAATTTGGAGGAACAAATTCAACCAACCCCACTGGTTCGAAACAAATATTAGGAGTTGGACTCAATGGTCCCTTCCAACCCAGGATGAACTATGCTCCTACAAAATGTGAGCCTGAAACTCACTGGACTGAGGTGCCAAAGTGCCTTTGGGGCATGGACCCACACGCTGCCAGGCTGGGGAAGGACCACACGGCACAGTAGACAGGGGCAAGGCCAAGAGGAGAAATCCCTCCTGCCCTGGAATAAACCCCTGGATGAGGCAACAACGCTGATCCCAGATCTGTTGAATTCCAGGGGAAGCTGGACACAAAAATGCCTCTGCACTGGGTGCTCCAGGGCGGTGGAGCCAAGGAGGTGTTTGGGGGAGCTGAATGGGCGTCACATACAGATGGCCACTGGCCAGAGGTGGGCACAGGACAACGCTGTGCTCTGTGGAAGGTCCTGCATTCAGCCCCCAGCCCTGCCGTGGCACGACGGGAGGCGTTCCCGAGCGAGCGTTCTTCGGGATAACGCGGAGTAACCGGGTGATTTATCCCATTGTCACTCTTCAAAGGCGCAGTTGTTTACCATCCATCTCTCCCCACAAGCCCTGTTTGTTCGGAGGGGGCCGCAGGAAGCCCCGGGCTGTGACCCCCCCCGGGCCCGTCGCCGTTCTCACCTTGACTCGGCGCTGCCGGAGCCCGGTGCGGGCACCCCGCGCCTTCCCGAGGGATGCTCGCAGAGACCTGGGAGCGGGGAGGGCTGACCTGAATTTAACCTCTCTGCCAGCCCCACATTTGCTGGCGAGGGGAAGTGAGAGATGTGGCAGCCCGGCCAGAGCCGGCGACAAACTGCCGGTGTTTTTTGGGATGAAGGAGATGACACCGGGGTGGGGGGGGAGGTGTTGGGTGGGTGGGAAGTGCTTTGCCTGCACCTCACCTGCCTGTGTGGCCACGACTTGTGGTCACCCCCGAGCCTCCCTGGTCACACAAGGCTCATTTTATAATTCAAAATTATCAACTAAGATTTTTTTTTCCCCCAGGTCATTCCAATTTCTTTCAAATCCACCTACTTGATTTTAGTGTCAAAGGGATTTTCTCCCTCTCTCAAGTTGTTTTCACTTAAAAAAATAATAAAAAAAAAAAGAAGTCCTGGAGCACCAGACAGAATAATGAGCAGACTCACTATTTAGTCACAGAATGACCTGAAATTTCTCCAAGGAAACATATTTTTCACCGAAAAATACAGGAAAAAATCTGAATGAAAGTTTTTCCTTGACATTTTCTTGGTTTAGAGGAAACAGGAGAGCAATTTTTCCCCATCACTTTCACAGGCTGTTATTTTTTCTTCCCTCTCTCCACTCATCCCCAAGAGTTTCCTCCGTGTAAGGAAAAAAGGAGCAGGATGAGCAAGGCATTGAGAACCCCTGGGACACAAGGCTGAGCCAGAAACCAAAACCTGAGCCTGCCAGTTGCTTCTGTCTGGGTTTTTCACACCCTCCTGCCAACCAAGCATTGTGCCAAGGGGTCCTGTCACACCTAAAGACACGGAATTATCTGTTACAATACTTCAATACCTTCAATACTGCATAGATTTAGCTTTAAGTGCTCTGTAAATCATAGCAGAAATAATGGTCTTCCAGCTGCGAGCCACACACCACAATCAACCCACAGGAAGTCAGGACTGTAATTTAAAGGGTCTGTTAGAAAGAGCACCCACGGCTCCCTGTCCTCCCTTCGCACCCACAGAGCACCTCTGGGATACACCTTTTCCCAGACCAAGCAAAACTCCAGGCACATCCTCCCCGGGATGAAGATGCCTGAAGGATCACAGAGATTTCACCAGGAGCCTTCTCCTGGTGAGGGCTGAGGGTCTGCAGCCCAGTGCCAGGCAGAGATCACCGGCCGTTTCCGAGCTCGGTTCTCACACCAGATCATGATATTCCACTGTTTA